CTATTCTTCCACGACTTGGTACGAAAGCGGCTTGCAGGTTCCCGGGATGCCGTCGCTGTGTAATGTCACAGGATCTGTCCTTCGAGCCCGTTTCATCGCGCCTGGTCCTGCTGCAGCGAGCGGCTTGACAGCTCAACCTCGAGGGAGCCTGGAGCCGCACAAAGGCCTCCTTCCCGTCAGTTATGCTGATTTTCTGCGAGGATCTTAAGCTCTCTTGGCAGATGACTTTCCGGAAAGCTGGTGCTGCTTTGGGCTCCCGCCCCCCAACTCTGACAGGGCCCATGTCACCCTATCATCGTGGTACCTGCGCGCATCCTATTCCAACGCACATTCCCTTACATGCTATGTAAAACACTCCTTACTCAGACCATTGAGTAGAGCCAATATCCCGGTGTCCTTTAGAAAACACCTTAGAATTTAGGCAAAACGAGTATTGATAGTTTCTCTCTAGGAATCAGTTACAAAATGCAGTGGAGTGTTATATATTTATCTTGTTGTGTAAGATCAGTGGCAGACCAAGTAAAAACGTCGGCCAGCGTTAGAGCAACAATAGAAAGATGAATACTTGGAGCCAGTGTTGTGGCACAGGGAGGTAAGCAACAGCCTACAACGCCGACTTCCCATAAGGGCGCAGGTTCAAGTCCTGACTGCTTCACCCCCAAGCCAGCTCCCTGCCAAGGCCCCTGGAAAAGCGCCAAATGTGCACCTGTGTGGGAGACCCAGCGGGAGCTCCAGGCTCCTGGCTTCCCCAGACATTATGAACATTTGGGGGAGCAAAACAGTGAGTGGAAAAATAATCTCTCTTTTTCTAACTCTGCTTTTCACATAAATACATCTTAAAAAAAAGAATACAAGCACTTTATGTAACAGCTGACTTGTTGCACTAAAGCCTCTCTCTCCATGTTACCAAGCGGCATTTGTGCAACGTTATTCATTCGCGGTTTACATTTGTTGTCCCTCTTCCTCCCACAGAGCAGTGTGTCCATCTGCCCTGAGCAGTTGCTTCCAGAACATTCTGATCCTTTCCCCAGCCTACTATGGCTGTTTCCCCAGAGGGCAGCCTGCACCTGGCTTGGTGGGTGCCAGAAACTGGAATGGGACTTGCTAAAAGGATGTCTGGAGAAGCAGCGGCCCCACCACGGCAGGATGAGATGGGTCAGCACCCTGGAGGAGAGGACACCCCTGGATGTGTGAGGGGCAGGGACGTGTTCAAGGATGGCTGTGGTGGGGTTTGATGGAGAAGCACCTGCCAGCTGTGGCTCGGGGACCCTCAGGATGCTGTGACGGTGGGCAACATGGTTGGCCCCAGCTCCCTTTGTCCAAGCAGACATCTCGTTCTTGCAGGTGTAGTGAGGTTGCCTGTTGCTTAAGTAACTTCTGTGCCACTCCCCACCCCCGAGTGCCCAGCTTCTGCGCTAGCCCATGAGCCCTGCTCCCTGGGACCCTACACCCTGGGGGTCCTGACCAGCTCACCATTCATTCTTGCTGCTCGGTGTCCCTGTGTCTGCTGCTGCTGTGGGCACTTGTGGAGTGACGCAGAGGATGTAAGATCTTTCTCTGTCTCTATGATGCTTGCTCTCTGCCTTTCAAACAAATAAATATAATAATAATATCAGAAAACCAGGAGCCTTGGATAAGATGGCTTGGGTTCAATTTCAAGTGCTGTTGCCCCTCGGGTAGCGCCCCCTTCTGGGGTGAGAGCTCCCACCTGCCAGAGGGGAGATTCCCCCGCCCCTCCCGCACCCTGGGTGGGTGTCAGAGGTGAGGGGTCATGGCCCGACAGCCCTCAGTGGGAGTCCTCGGCACATGCAGTGAGCTCTCCACGACTCATGCTACGGGGCTGATGGGACCCGGAGGGCACATATTGGGGCTGTTCCTTCTGCAGGAAGGGCTCCCTGCCTCTGCTCGCTGTCAGCTGGGCATGCACATTCAATGTCTTCCAGCGAGCCAGCCCAGGCCTCTCACAGCCACTGGGATCCGTGAAGAAGGAGTGGGGTGGGGAGGCACACGGCGTCCGTGGAGCGGGAGCGGGGCGCTGGGCCCCTCCTGCTGCAGCCGCGCCGGGTCCGGGGCCCTGCAGCCGGGAGCAGCTGCTCTAATTCATGCAAAGGCAGGCACCCAGGTTGGCCCTGTCTATTTATAGCTTATTTATGAAGAAGGAAAAACAAGGGCCTAGTTGCTGTAGCAACAAGGAGCACCACGGGCTGCGGTTCCCTGCGCTGGGAAGATGGCCAAATCTTCTTGCGGCTGTATGTGTCTTAATAGGATGGGGTGGGTGCTTGAGGGGACTTCTTGGGTCTTGCTCCATGCCAGCTACCTGGCAGCTTGTCGGTTGGACAGGGTGGAAGGCGCTGCTGGCTGGGCCCTTGGGGGTGCTGGGGACATGCCTGGCCGAACCTTCTGGTCTCCCTTCTCAGTGTGGACACCTCTGCGTGTGGAGACGGGGCCCTTTCCATCACTGCGCTCCCTTAGGGCACTTGAGTGGCACAGTCTCCTGACTAGTGTCCCTCCACACTGTGACTGGCACAGAGCTGATCCCAAGCCTGGTACCAGGACAGACTTAACATGTATGCATGAACCGTTTTTACAGTGTGAGATGCTTGCTGCACACGCACACGAGCTAAGGGCAGACCTGGAATGATCTCTCTCATTTGTTAATATTTAATTAACTTACTGGAAAGAGCAAGAGAGACAGAGATCTGACACCTGCTGCGGCTGGACCATGCTGAACAAGCCAGGATTCAGGAACTCCATCTGGGTCTCCAATGCAGGTGGCAACAGGTGGGGCAGGGACCCAGGTACTTGAGTCTCCAGTGTTGAGCAAGAAGCTAGAAGAAGTGGAGTTGGGAACGGCACGTCCCACCTCACAGATGATAAACTGACATTGAGAGAGGCCAGAGTGCAGGCTGAGGTCACCCAGCTGGCAGTGAGGGAGGATGAGGGAGGGCCCCAAGGGGCAGGACAGCCTGGGTTCCAGCTGGACCTTGCTTGTCCCTGGGGTAGGGAAACGATTGCAGCCGGCTCTGGGATGGGACCAGGTGTGGCTCCATTCTTGATTTAGCTGCTTCTCAGCTGTGTGGCCTGGAACTGTGACCTTGGCTCTCTGGGGCTTGGAGGCCTCAACCTGTTAAGTGAGGCAGAGGAGGCCTGGTGAGCAGGGACTGCTGGCCAGCGGCCCCCTAGTCTGTTCCTCCCAGCATATTTGCTTTCCCAGTGTTGGGTACAGCCTGGGGGTCTAGCAGGTGCGTGAGACCCTCTGTTGAGACATGAGAGGAACTCAGGGATTGCTGTTGTGTTACTGGGGAACTGAGGCACCAAGGGCCCTGATGGCGACGCTCATGTCACACAGCCAAGCCCAGAGCAGAAGCAGCGGCTTGCGGGATGGTGCCCAAACCTCCGCTCTCCTAAGGGATCCGTGGGGCGAGGTCCAGGTCCTGGAGAGGCACCCTGGGTTGGGCTGCAGCCGCGGGGACGGAGCCACGCGGGACGGAGCCACGCGGGACAGCGGGTGCTGAGAAGGCACCTACTGTTCAGCGGGGCAGGGACCCCCGGAGCTGCCCTCGCACGCTCCGCTGCTGCCCGTCCGGTGCGCCAGTCCTTGGGCCAGGACTCCGCGAGGCTCTCGGTCGCCCTCTGCTGGGCTCAGGCCGCCTTTGCCGGGCCACTCCAGAAGCAGGAGGAGGAGGAGGAGGAGGAAGAAATAGGGGCCTGGTGCGGTGGCCTAAGGGCTGAAGTCCTTGCCTTGCAAGTGCTGGGATCCCATAGGGACCCCGGTTTTAATCCCGGCGGCCTCACTTTCCATCCAGCTTCCTGCCTGTGGCCTGGAAAAACAGTCAAGGACGGCCCAAAGCCTTGGGACCCTGCACCCACCTGGGAGACCTGGAAGAAACTCTTGGCTCCTGGCTTCGGATCAGTTCAGCTCTAGACGTTGCAGTCACTCGGGGAGTGAATCATTGCATGGAAGATCTTTCTGTCTTTGTTTCTCCTCCTCCTCTCTGTATATCTGACTTTGCAATAAAAATAAATTATATATATGTAATTATATATATATATAGAGAGAGGAAATGCCACCTTGTCAGTTCCTCTACCACACCCCAAGTCCGGGTGAGGAACAGAAGTGCCCCATGGGCCTGGAGAGTCTTTGGGGGGCGTCCTCTTCTCCCCGGGGGGTGGTAGCTGGGCCGGTGACTCCTTGTGACCTGTGCCTCTGCATAGGGAACCCGCGGGGCTGGGTAGGCCCCTAAGGTCTCTGCCAGAGTCCAGGGCCCAGGGTTCAAGGTCCAGGGTTCAAGGTGCAGGGTCCAGGGTTCAAGGTGCAGGGTCCAGGGTCCACTGTCCGGGGTCCAGGGTCCAGGGTTCAAGGTGCAGGGTCCAGGGTCCACTGTCCGGGGTCCAGGGTCCAGGGTTCAAGGTGCAGGGTCCAGGGTCCGGGGTCCAGGGTCCAGGTTCCAGGGCCCAGGGTCGGCCATGAGGTGACACGCTGAGGGTTGACCGGGGGGTGCTGCGCTGTCACCCACAGGCAGGGCCGGGAATCCAGCCGCCCACAGCCGCTCTCCCACACGCGTCTCCCTGGGGCTCCCTGCTGGAGCGTGTGAATCGGTTGCGGATACCCCACTGTCTGCACAGGCTACGTTCTGTTTGTGCATTTGGCAGCTGCTGGGCGCTCGCGTGGTTTCCCTGCTGAAGGCAAGGAGACGCTGGGGCTGTGCCCGGGACTCAGGTGTGGCTGATTTCCAACGTGTCAAGCACGTCCCGGGAGAAACAGCCCCGTTCTGACCATAGGAAAATGGGTCGCAGGCACCTCCACCTTGGACCAGTCCTTCCTCCCCAGGCTGGGGTCTTGGACGCAGTTTCTCCTTCTTGCCCTTGGAGGCGCTCGACTCCAAGGAGCTCCTGGTCTCTCTAGGACACGGAAACTCGTAGGCTCCTTCGTTCCCGCGCGCAGTCGGCCCCGCCCCTGCGCTGGCAGGAGGTCGCCGGAAGCGGGCCGCTCCTTTCGTGGGCGGAGCTCGCTGGCCCGGAAGTGCTTTCCTGGGAAAGATGGCGGCTGTGTCGGTGTATGAGGCGCCGGTGGGAGGTTTCTCTTTCGAAAACTGTCGCAGGTGCGGCCACGTCCGGGGCAGCGTTCAGGGCGGGAGTGGCGCTGCGGTGCAAGGGTCGGAGCTGGGCCGCGCGGCCTGGTTCCGGGGAGCCTGGGCGGAGGGGAGCTGGCGCGGCCCGCGTGACTCAGGGGGAATGGGGGGCCCGCGCCTGGCTTTCCCGCAGGTTGCCTGGTCCGTCCTCGTCCGGGGCCAGTGGGGACCCCTCCTGTCTCCGGGTGTCCGCGGGGACGGGCTGCGGTTCGTGCCGCCGCCGGGCCGTGTTGTCCTCGCGCGCCTCCGTCCGGATCCCACCCTCGCCCGCTTTCTCGCAGGAATGCCGTCCTGGAAGCCGACTTCGCCCAGAAGGGCTACAAGCTGCCCAAGGCCCGGAAGACGGGCACGACCATCGCGGGCGTGGTGTACAAGGTGAGTGGGCGCGGAGCAGGTGCGCGGGGGCCCCCCTCAGCTCCAGGGGCGTCCAGTGTTGTCAGGAGACGGCGCGCTGGGCTGTCCTGGTGAGCCTGGTGCAGGAGGACGTGGGGCAGGCAGACGCAGGTGCCAAACCCTGGGGTGGGTCCAGGAGCTGACCGCCCGCCCCTTGCCTCGTCCGAGGGATCAGGGCTTTGGCCGACCGGGAGTAGAGCGCTGTGCTGTGTCGTTGCAGAAACCGTTGATGAAGGTTTTCTTTCCCCTCTGTGCTAGGATGGTATAGTCCTTGGAGCGGATACAAGGGCGACTGAAGGCATGGTGGTCGCTGACAAGAATTGTTCGAAAATCCACTTCATTTCTCCTAATATTTAGTAAGTATGGGTGGTCGGGAATAGTTCTTATCAAACCTGGTGTGGCCTTCCCTGGAACCTGCTGAGCCTGTATCGTCTCTCCCTGGAGTGGTTGTTCCGTCCACCTGTCGTCCCAGCGAGTCGTTCACCGTGCAGCCTCTGATCGCCCTTTGCGTTCTCTGCACCTCTCTCTCTCTCTCTCTCTTTTTTTTTTTTGTAAGACTTAGTTAATATTTATTTGAAAGGCATAGTTAGAGAGGGAGAGACAGAAACAGACCATCTGCTGGCTCACTCCTCAAATGATCGCAGTGGTCAGGGCTGGTCCAGGTTGAAGCCAGGAGCTTGAAGCTCCACCTGGGTCTCCCATCTGGCACATTGGCAGGGAGTTGGAAGGGAAGTGGAGCAGTCAGAACTCGAACCAGCACCCATATAGGATGGCGTTGTTGCAGAACACCGCCTAGCACGCCTGGCCCTCTGCACGTCTCACCAACGCCCCCTGCTGACCTCCCCCTGCAGGGCCTTAGTTCAGCAGCTGCTTTGTCAAGGGGCCATCACAGGAATGGGCCTTTGGTCTATTCTCCATGGTCCTGCTCTTCTCTGCCTTAGTCTTCAGACACTTGAATCTGATTGTATCCGTTTCCTTTTCACAGTCCCACACTGCTTCAGGATGAATCCCAGTCTTGTAGTGTGGTATTAGGCCTCACAGCATCTCTCAGAAAGCCTCTCTTCCCCTGTGCTGCCGGTGCACCTGAACTGTGTTCCTCATCTCGCTGTACAGTGGCCTCTGCTTAGAAACGCCCTGCCTCTGATAGCAAGTACAGGTTAGGCTCATAGGAAACCCCCCTTATTTATTTTTTAAAGACTTATTTATTATTTTATTGGAAAGGCAGATTAGATTGACAGAGAAGAGGAGAGACAGATCTTGCGTCTGCTGGTTCACTCCTCATGTGGCCGCCACAGTCAGCCAGCAGCCAAGAGCCTCCTCTGGAACTTTCACGTGGGGGCAGGGTCCCCAGGCTTTGGGCTGTCCCCTGCTGCTTTCGCAGGCCACAAGCAGGGGACTGGATGGGAAGTGGAGCAGCTGGGATTAGAATCAGTGCCCATAAAGGATCCTGGTGCTTGCAAGGTGAGGGCTTAGCCATTGAGGCATCGCACTGGGCCCAGAAAATCTCTCTCTCTCACTTTTTTTTTAAAGGTTTATTTTTATTTTTATTGGAAAGTCAGATAAACAGAGAAGAGGAGAAGCAGAGAGCAAGATCTTCTGTCTGATGATTTCATTCCCCAAAGCCACAGCGGCCTGAGCTGCCCTGATCTGAAGCCAGGAGCCAGGAACTTCTTCCTGGTCTCCCACACAGGTTCAGGGTCCCAAGGCTTTGAGCCGTCCTTGACTGTTTTCCCAGGCCGCAAGCAGGAAGCTGCATGGGAAGTGGAGCTGCCAGGATTAGAATTGGTGCCTATATGGAATCCTAGGTGGGTGTGCAAGGCGAGGACTTTAGCCGCTAGGCTACTGCGTAGGACTTCAAACCTTTTCTTAATGATCAGAGTTAATGACCAACTTCTCCATGTGCGCTGATGTCCTGTAGTATGTGCTGTGCTACAGTTTTTGTCTGCCTTTGTCTTTGCTGCTCAGCTTCAAGCACCGGACTGTGTTACGTTTTCTGTTCTGAGTACTTAGTGCTGAGTCCACTGGTCGTGGACACTTGGCACTTGGTGGACCTTAAATTGCAAAGTTTCTAGCACACGATGTCCTTTTATGGAATGTGAATGCATTTGTAGGATTAGTGAAATGCCTGCTGTGTTAGAGGCACAGGGAGCGGCGACTGGGGACGCCCCCCGGGCCGCAGGGAGCACTGTGGTGCGTCGTTGGGCGCATATCCCGAGCTCCCTGTTTACTTAGTGTCGGCCAGCGCAGTTGCTGTGCCGCTGGACCTCACACCTGTCCCTGTGCCCTGGGCTCTGGTCGTTACCCAGGAGGGCTCCTCCCACCGAGCCCTCTGGTAGCTGAATGGCAGCAAAGTTCCTGCTTGTGTTTTTCAGTTGCTGTGGCGCTGGGACAGCTGCGGACACAGACATGACCACCCAGCTCATTTCTTCCAACCTGGAGCTGCACTCCCTCTCCACGGGCCGCCTCCCCCGAGTCGTGACGGCCAACCGCATGCTGAAGCAGATGCTGTTCAGGTGAGGCCTTGGCGCTGCTGCTGTCTTACGCATCTTATTCTGGAAAGTCAGCTCTTGTAAAATGCCATGATGGTTTTTGTAAATTTTTGGTGTTTATAGACTTGCATGACAGAGGAGAAGAGGGAAAGAGGATAAAATCTCACGGGTGACTTGCTGGGCGAGGAGGAAGTCAGGAGCCAGGAGTTCCACTCTGGACCCCCCGTGGGTGATGGGTCCAGGCACCTCGGCTGTCGTCACCCTGGACTCCCGGTGTCAGGGACGCAGCGTTGAGGCCATCCGCTGCCTGCTCGGGTGTGTGGCTGGAAGCTGGGTGGGAAGCAGAGCAGCAGGGCCTTAAGCCACTGTGCTGGTGGGCTGCCACAGTCACAGGCCATGGTCTAATGTGCTGAACCACAGTGCTGGCCCCTTAAGTTCATAAGGCATTTGATGGTGCATTTGAATTTTGGGAGCTTTATTTGTTTTTGTTGTAAAGGCTGATCAGAGAAAAGGAAAGACAGAAAGATCTTCCATCTGCTGACTCACTCCCTAACTGGCCTCAATGGCTGGAGCTGAGCTAATGTAAAGCCAGGAGCCGGGAGCTCCCTCTTGGTCTCCCGTGTGGATGCAGGGTTCCCCAAGGCTTTGGACTCTCCTCCACTGTTTTTCCAGACCACAAGTAGGGAGCTGGCTGGGCATATGGGATCCTGGTGGATACAAGGTGAGGATTTAGCCATTAGGCTACTGTGCTGGGCCTGATTTCCAGTTTCTTTTGAAAATGTTGGAAGCTGCTGGGATTACTTGTAGTCCTGGGCATTGATTGCTGGCCATGTTCCCGGGAGTGGGAGCGTGTGCCCTGCAAGTGACGGCCCCTGCCCAGCTCACTTGGTCTCCATTGGTTCCCTGAGAATTGGCAGGCCCACTTCCCTGGCTGGCACGGTTCTGGGCCCTCAGTTGTACAGCCCGGTAGGAAGGGCAGTTCACAGCCTTCGTTACTTCAGTGGTTTCATCAGTCCTGCTGTAAATCATCCCTGCCTGGGAGAACTGTTGTCAACCAAGTAAAATCTTGTGGGAACTTATTAAAAGCACGTTTGGTGAGAATTCTCACAGCATTTTAATTTTAAATGCAGCGCTCCCTCTGGTGGCTTGTTCAGTGCATTGCAGATGAAGCAGTGTTTAAGAGTTGGATAACTGCTTGCCGTGTTATTCAGCACCTCTAGGGAAGTAGTCATATGTTTCTGTTAGTCACTTTGGAATGCTCTAAGGGGTCTTAATTTTCTTATGTGTATGTGTGTGTGTTTTATTTTTGTTTTTGTAAAAGGTCTAAATTTTCCTTTTTCCTGGTTCATCATTTTAACTTTGTTTATAAAAGTTGAGTTTTATTGGTTTTGAAAGTAACGTTTAAACATTAAACTACAGGGCCCTGTGCTGTGGCCTAGCAGCTAAAGTCCTAGCCTTGTAAGTGCTGGGATCCCATATGGGCGCCGGCTCCAGTCCCAGTGGCTCTGCTTCCCATCCAACTCCCTGTTACGGCCTGAGAAAGCAGTTGAGGACGGCCCAAAGCCTTGGGATCCTGCACCTGCGTGGGAGACTGAAAGAGGCTCCGGGCTCCTGACTTCGGATTGGCTCAGCTCCGGCTGTTGTGGCAGCTTGGGGAGTGAATCAATGGACAGAAGATCTTTTTGTCTCTCCTCTCTGTATATCTGACTTTGCAATAAAAATAAATCTTCCCATGTCCTTATGTTTGTGTATTTAGAAGGATGGGCTGCTATCATAAATGCTATTTTGTGGCTTCCCTGGTCACAGTGCTTTGTGCGTTTTGTCTTTGTCACTGCAGGAGCCCTTCCCTCCAGTGCATGGAGTGGTTCCAGAGGCTCAGCCTCCTGACACAGCAACAGACTCTGTTAGGTGCCCCTTGTTGGGGGGGAGGAGAGTCCCCCCTTTGTTTTTCCTTCTAAAGATTTGTTTATTTGAATGGCAGAGAGATCTTCCAACTGTTGATTTACTATCCAAATGATGGTGACAGCCACATTGGGGCCAGGCTGAAGCAACAGGCCCGGCGTGCTGTCCTTGTGCCACCTGGGTAGTGGAGACTTAAGCATGTGGAGCGTCTTTCACTTCTTCCACGTGCACTTGCAAGAAACTGATCAGGAAATGAAGGAGCCAAGGTTTGAGTTGGTGCTCTACCATGGGATGCCAGTGTTGCAGATGGCAGCTTAGTTCACTGTGCCAGGGTGCTGGTCCCTGGGATCCATGTTCCAGTCAGTGCTTTTCAGGGGCTTGTGACCTCGGAAAGTGTAGACCGTTGGTCAGTGGGACAGTTTTTGGGGATACCACAGCATTTCATTCTGTGGATGCTTTACAATTTAAGTCATTTCTGAACATTAGTGGTGATTTCTCCTTTTCATGTATTTGTTTATTTGAAAGGCAGTGAGTGAGAGATGGAAGCACGGTGATCTTCAGCACCGGCTCAGCACCGGCTCACCCCTGGTCCCCGCAGCGGCTGGAGCCGGCCCGTCTGAAGCCAGGAGCCTGGGGTTTCTGGCTCCCTCACATGCGTGCAGGGACCCAAGCACTTGGGCTGTCTTCCTCTGCTTTCCCAGGCAGGCGCGTGGGCAGGGAACTGGTTTGGAAGTCTTGAAAGCTGTCCCAGTGTGGGATGCTGGTGCTGCAGGTGGGAGCCACAGCACTGGCCCTTAGATTCCATTTAAAGGCGTCAACGGTGTTAGGAAGATACTCTATGACCAGTTCGAAATACTGAATCTTCTTGGCCTTTTGTAATTCTGAGGCTGTGCGCTTTGAAACAGGACTGGCAGCAGCCTGTTTTTAGGACTGAGAGACTGAGCTGAAGCGAGGTGCGTGGAGTTCCTCGTACAGCTCGCGGTTCATTTTGGCTGATAATGTTCAGCCAATGAATATCTCCCCCTGCCTTTTTTTTTTTTTTTTAAGATTTATTTATTTTTATTGAAAACTCAGGTATACAGAGAGAAGGAAAGGAGAGACAGGAAGATCTCTGGTCGCTGAGTCACTCCCCAAGCTGCCACAATGGCTGGAGCGAAGCCAGTCCAAAGCCAGGAGCTTCTGGGTGTCTCCCATACATGGGTGCAGGGTCCCAAGGCTTTGGGCAGGCCACAAGGAGGGAGCTGGATGGAACCAGGGCTGCTGGCATTAGAACCAGCACCCATATGGGATCCTGGTATGTGCAAGGCGAGGGCTTTATCCACTAGGTTGCCATGCTGGGATCTATCTATCTGCTTTTGTCCTCTAAACATGACGCCCTTAATGAAACAGTGTGAGAAATGGTACTTGTTGTGGGACCCCGCCGTCTTGGGGTCAGGTGACAGGAGTGTTAGGTCTATTCATGTGTTGTTCTTTGATCACCAGGTACCAAGGTTACATCGGTGCAGCCCTGGTTTTAGGGGGCGTGGACATCACTGGGCCTCACCTGTACAGCATCTATCCTCACGGGTCAACTGACAAGCTGCCTTACGTCACCATGGGTGAGTGTGCGCTGCCCTTGACGTGTCAGGACTCCCGCTTTCCAAGATGGCCTCGCTTTTTAAAGAAATATTTATTTTATTTTAGGGATTTATTTATTTATTTATTTATTTTTATTGCAAAGCCAGATATACAGAGAGGAGGAGAGACAGAGGAAGATCTTCTGTCCAATGATTCACTCCCCAAGTGACTGCAACGGCCGGTGCTGTGCTGATCCAAAGCCAGGGGCCTGGAACTTCCTCCGGGTCTCCCACTCGGGTGCAGAACCCAAGGCTTTGGGCTGTCTTCTATTGCTTCCCAGGCTGCAAGCAGGGAGCTGGATGGGAAGCCCGGCTGCCAGGATTAGAGCCAGTGCCCATATGGGATCCCTGTAGGTGCAAGGCAAGGACTTTAGCCACTAGGCTCCTGCGCTGGGCCCTGCTTTGGTTCTTGAGCACAGAAGTACTGGGTGCATGGGGTACAGCATGAGAAGAATGTAGATGAGATTCCTGCCTGCTGGAAGTTTGTGTTTTAGTGGCGGTGAACAGGCTGAGCAAGGGCTGGAAAAAATGCATTGTGTAGAAAGGAATAGTTGGTGAGCAGAGTGGTGTTGGTGATCTTGTGCTGTGGTTAGCCAGGAGCATGCCTTCAGGGAGGCTGGTCAGGAGCGTGTGAGAGCTCTGTATTACTCATTGTCTAACTTGGAATTTATAGTTAACTGAGAGTAGGAGTTAAAAAGATGTGTGTTGGGGGCCCGGCGCGGTGGCGTAAGTGGTTAAAGGTCCTCGCCTTGCACGCCCGGGATCCCATATGGGCGCCGGTTCTAATCCCGGCAGCCCCGCTTCCCTTCCAGCTCCCTGCCTGTGGCCTGGGAAAGCAGTCGAGGACGGCCCAAAGCTTTGGGAACCTGCACCCGCGTGGGAGACCCAGAAGAGGCTCCTGGCTTCGGATCGGCATAGTATCGGCCCGTTGCGCTCACTTGGGGAGTGAATCATCAGACGGAAGATCTTCCTCTCTGTCTCTCCTCTCTGTATATCCGCCTTTCCAATGAAAAAAATAATAAAAAAATAAATCTTTAAAAAGATGTGTGTTGGATAAGGGGATGTGGGGGAAGGGGCAGCTGGCAGCTTACAGTGTGGATAGAAAGGCCTTAGGTGGGGAGTGGGTAGCCTTCACCCGAAAGGCGAGATCGGAGTGGAGATGCCTTCGAGGCCGCAAGGAGCCCGGGGTGGAGGTCTTACCTCGCAGCAGTCCTGGTGCAGGCTTGGTTTTCTTTTTCCCTCTGGAGTGACCATTAAACCTGAGAGCTCCTAGGTGTTTCCTCTGGAAATCTCCGTCTTCTCGCCTGTGGATTGTCTCCAGTCCCTGCTGCACTGTGTGTGTGTGTGTGTGTGTGTGTGTGTGTGTGTGTGTGTGTGTTTAAAGATTTGTTCATTTTCTTTGGAAAGTCAGATCAACAGAGAGAAGGAGACAGGTTCATACCCCAAGTTGCTGGAGCTGGGCCTGTCCGAAGCCTGGAATCAGGAGCTTCTTCTGGCTCCCCCAGAGGCCATCCCCCCTTGGGCCATCTTCCACTGCTTTCCCAGTCCATAAGCAGGGAGCCAGCCAGAAGAGAAGTAGAGCAGCTGGGACACAAAGCAGTGCCCATGTGGGCTCCTGCCCCGCTTCCCATGATGCGTTAGGCTTACAAGGCATCTGCTCCTGGCTGGCCTGTAACTGCCAGTTCAGCTTTCCAAGCAAGCCGTTCAGCTTGGTGTGTTGGAAATTATTTTCAGTGACAAAATTGCCTTAGTGGCCTAGGGATTTTCAGTGTCTAATGTATGTGTTAAGTTTCCTAGTCAAGTTGTGTAGGTTATAAACTCAAATTGATTGGGTGTGGTGTGGCGTTTTCCAGCTGCTGTGTACTGAGTTTGTCTTCGGTCTTGGTGTCTTGGCTGCACGACTAGGGAAGGACTAGGAAAACGGCTGCCTGGAATCGTGCGGAAATTGCCAGTTTGAGACTTTGCTTCTTCATTGTGTTGCAAGACTCTGATTGGGTTTTTATAGAGCAGATGTCCCCTGTTTGTTGGGGAGATGCCGTATGGATGATCCTTTGTGATTATTTTAAAGTGAAGATACTCAGAGCAATTTTAGAACTGTTTTGAATTGCTTTATTCAAATGTGTTTTTTATGTCCATCCAGGTACTGTTATCTCTTCTCATCGGATAGCTTTAAACAATGTAAAGGTTATCTTGCTTTCATTATGTCTTTTTAAAAAAGATTTATTTATTATTTTTATTGGAAAGGGAGATTGTACTACAGAGAGGAGGAGAGACAAAAAGATCTTTCATCTTCTGGTTCAGTCCCCAAGTGGCTGCAACAGCCAGAGCTGAGCCAGTCTGAAGCCAGGAGCCCGGAGCTTCTTCCAGGTCTGCCATGTGGACACAGGGTCCCAAGGTTTTGGGCTGTCCTCAGCTTTTTCCCAGGTCACAAGCAGGGAGCTGGCAGGGAAGTGGAACAGCCAGCGTATGGGCTGACACCCACATGGGTGCGTGCAAGGCAAAGATTTTGAGGCAGGCTACTGTGTTGGGCCCTAATTTTCAGGCTTGCGGAAATGTTTCAGTAAAGTTAGTTTTGATTTCTCAGCTAAGATTTTACTGCTTTAGCTGTCTTGTACATATTATCATTTTGCGGAGTCATGTTAGAGGGCTAACATAATCCTGCATCTCTAAATCCGCTGAGATTCTGCCTAGTAAAACTCATTAAATTTAGGGAATTAGCATTGATCAAAAAATGACTTCATGATTGCAGTGGGAAAACCAAATTGGTTTCTGTAGGTAGCATTTGATCTGTAGTGTCTTGTTCATGTGACCCTAATAGTGTAGAAAAGTTGTCTCAGTAGTGAGTTGGATATGTGTCTTACCCGGTCCTGTAGCCCCTTTTTATGCTTGGTCCTGCCCAGGCGATCTCAGTGCTCTGCAGGCCTGCTTTGAGTTGAGCTGATGGCTTGCTGGCTTGGAGTGTGCAGGACACCTCAGTTGTACAGGGTTGCAGAGTGTCTGGCCTACAGGATCTGGAAGGCCTATGAAATCGTTTGGTCTGGTCCTGCCAAGGAAACTGTAGGAGACTCAAAATTTAGTACGTTTGTAGCAGGCTAATTTTTACGTTGATCATTTGCAGTGACCTGTGAATGATCCTACAGGTATTCAAATGATCCTTGGCGGGACAGAGGTTCTCCACCCCTGGTTTAGAAAATTTGCTATCCTAAAGGATTACATGAGGAGGAAGGAGATGTCAGTAATATCCTGTGAAGGCATGAGTAGGTGATTGCTTCCTCTGGTTGTTGCCACTGTCTGTGGAGTCACTGTAACAGGTGACTCAGGTGGAGATAAATATGGGGGCTTTGTCTTTAAAACACTCACAGACCAGTAGGGAGCACTAATGGGTACGCTGACAAGGGCAGTGGCATCCAGGGATAGTGCCAGTTTTCAGTGTAGGGAATTCAAGAACTTTGGTTGCTTGAGCTTAAGGCCAGTAAGATCCTTTCCTGTGTCAGATACTTTGCTCCCTTCCCTAGGCTGGTTGTGGAGCTCTGCCTCCCTCGGAGTTCACAGCCTCCTGGGGGAGATGCACACTCCTCGGAAAGAACAAAGAACGTAGTGTGCTGGGCAGTCCTGGGCAGTCCTGGGCAGTCCTGGGCACCCGGGCGTGGAGGTTTGCGAAGTCCTTAATGAGCAAATGATGTTAACACATTTCTAATCAGTAATTCAGGAATCTGTCAGGACATCCAGCTGGACAGAGCACTTTCTGAAAAATAAATCTGTTTCATAGTTCTCCAAAGTTATCACTTTCAAGAGCTGTGCTTGTTTTTTCCCGAGGAAATATTTTATGATAACCCTGCGTGGATATCTGTCACTGTCAGTTGTCTCATCCACTTGTCTGTCCATTTTGTTCATTTTTTTTTTAAGATTTTATTTTTATTACAAAGTCAGATATACAGAGAGGAGGAGAGACAGAGGAAGATCTTCCCTCCACTGATTCAATCCCCAAGTGATTCCAGTGGCTGGAGCTGAGCTGATCTGAAGGCAGGAGCCTCTTCCAGGTCTCCCACGCGGGTGCAGAATCCCAAGGCTTTGGGCCGTCCTTGACTGCTTTCCCAGGCCACAAACAGGGAGCTGGATGGGAAGTGGAGCCACTGGGATTAGAACCAGCGTTCATATGAGTTAAAGAGAAGCACACACATGTGATGCCACCAACCAAAAAAAACCCTAAAATAAGGAGAATGCAACTAAATAAACTCCTTCAAAATATCTTAATATGCCCCAAACAAACCAGCCAACAAAATCACCAGGCACAGAGCTTGGTGTGAAAGGTGTGCTGTGAAGCCACGATGGGGAGAACTGGGGGAAGATAGATGGGTGAGGAATCAGTGGCTCCACCCCCGTGGTCCAGCTGGTCTTGGCAGTGCCCCTCCTGCCCAGCGCCCGCCTCATGCAGGCCTTGGCCCTCCCTGTGGTCCAGTTCAGTTTTTTGCCATTGCAGGTCTTGGGAGGCAGCAGGTGGCGGCTCAAGTTCCTGTGTTATTGCCGCTTCTGTGGGAGAGCCACGGTGACTCCTCAGTTCTTGTGGACCTCGGCCTGGCTGTTGTCATTTGGAGAATGAGCATGCGCGTTGGAGCTGTTGTTTGCTTCTGACTCTCTGCCTCAAATTAGTGAATGAATAATTTTTAAAAAATGGTGCTTTAGAACAGATCATGGCAGGTGAGTGCTGGAATCCCAGTGCACACTGCTGGTGCAGCCAGGGTCCAGGTCGTCCTGCAGTTCTCCCTTCGCTGCCAGGGGACTCCTTCTTGGGAAGTGTGGGTGCTTCTGATTCTTGAAGCCCACTTGTCCAGAGCTGGGGCTCCCCACGCAGGAACAGCAGGTGCAGAGTGCATTCTGCCTTGTGAGTGCTCTTCCCAGAATGCCACTCGGAGGGCCTGAGGGAGCCTTGCTCTTGGCTCCTCACCGACCGCCCATTATTTCTGCCAGTCAGCGGGTGAGAA